TTTTCTGGGACTCGAATTTAACGATTCCACTCTATCAAGCGAACGAGCTACAAACGAAACTTTATTTCGGTGCGGCGAATGTTCAATGTCCTTATACGGCCCTGATTAATTAACCATATGCTTAATAATTATATCTTCACGGTGGCCACATATGGAACTTTGGTACGTGTGTCGGCCATTTTGAGGTAGCGGAGAAACAAAATGGCCGAGGATTCTTAGATTCCGAATCTTTCTAACTTCTGTAAAAATTACTCTATCGTTTCGAAACTTTAACAGTAGCTTTATTGACGTAAATAATTTTATCAAATCTACCTGTTGGTTAAATCTGCAACCAGTAATATGAAGATGCGTTAATTGAAGTGATAGTACAATCTTAACAAATATATTTTTACAAAGTACTGCCAGAAGTTGAAGCACCAGATTATCGATAATTCTCCACTTTTTCTCGATCGAAGATCATAAATATTTGATCAAAGCCATATCTTCCACAAAACGTAGCAAGTTTTCCACAAAGGGAATCGCTAAAAGCAACAAAGGAATCCACGAGAGTCCGAACTCGCAACCCTCTGCATTCGGCTGCGAACAATGGATGGTTTTTTTCTGTGCGTCCTCAGAAAGAGCAAGTTATATCGTTCCCTCTTTTCGGGGGCTCAAAGGACCCCCAAGCTGTTTTTCAGCATTTAATATTAATCGTTCGGCCGGGCATGCGGCGACGGTGAATGATTATGATATTTCGAGTCGCGCAACCCTCCACGTTTGATCTTCAGAAAGCGTGATAATTGGCACACAGAGAGGCACGTTAATGCGCATAAAATGGGAACAGGCTACGATGAGTTGCATTACCTTCGCCGCCGCAAGTAAATAGCAAGAAAGTCCTTTGATCGTGTATACGTACACGAAATGACACGGCGGAGAAGTGTCGCTACCAGAAACGCAAAATTGAATCGTCCTTAAGTCCTCAAAAGAAGTTTTAGGCCTTTTTATGCCGGGATATAATTCGCGGTGAAAGACTAAGTGGCTCTGATACGATTGCACAGTGTGTCGGAAAAATAACTTTATAAATTATAAATAAATTCATGTAGAAATTCGGGATCTTAGGACCTTAGAGATCTTAGAAAACCTTGAACAGTATGACCTAACAGTATAAAAGTCTAAGATTTCAGTAAGATCCTAGAAAAATATAAGGATTATATTACATGCTAACCTAACCTAATTTGGAAATATGAAATCATCAGCTATACACGTTATAGTAATAGAGAATGTATAGCAGTGAATGAGACATGGTAACAGGAGACATAATGCAGCCGTGTCGACGCGTTTAACGGGGTAAACTTTTAATCTAGCGCTCTTAAACAGTAGTTCCATCGTCGGAATGAAAGGATCCCCAGGCGACAAAGAGTTCAAGCTCGCCATCCAGCGACGATTATATTCATTCGGAGGTGCACGCGAATCGAGAACCGGATTTTAATCCGGGCTGACAGTGACGAGACGCTGACACGAAGATCCGCACGAACAATTCGTGGCCCGCACCCTTCGGGACCATTCAGAACCCTTTGAAATTAGCATAAGCGCGACTATGAACCGACACGAGTACCGTAAATGAACGAACACGATATTATACGAGGAAGCTTTTTCCCGCTACGGTCCCGTAATAATGCTTTCGGTGAATCGATATTTTATTTTCTGTCATCTCCTCGTTTTTTCCCTCGCTTCCGTGAGCCGGGAGTGAAATCGACGGTAAAATTATTTAGAAGACGTTTTATTTTAAATAGAAAACGAAGTGAAAAAGATTGCTTAGGATGACCGCAATTTGCTGCACTCCCGGGGGATCGATAGGTAACCGAGAAACGATTATAGCGTAATCGCTCTGCTGTGCTGGGGACACCTTCATTTTTTCTTTTAAGTTCGCCATCTTGTTCCACTTTTTCTATTGCCTCTTATACGTTGCTCTGCAAATACATCCTATCTTTAGGTACCTGCATATGATCAGATACTCACATGTGATCAGATACTCACATGTGATCAGATACTCACATGTGATCAGATACTCACATGTGATCTTCAAACTTACATGTGATCTTTAGGTACTTATACATGATCTTTAGGTACTTGTTCATGATCCTCATTATCTATCACATCCTCGATTTTTCTGAACAAGTGAAGACCTTCCATTTGCTGTATTTGCTCACGTCATTCATGTCGCCATTTTGTTACGAAGATGTATCGTCAAATTTTATTCCTAACCACCACAAGAAGGTAGGACCTAAAAGACCCTAATGCTCCACAGTCAAGAACAGCTGAAAGTCAAGACCAAATAATTAGAAGTCCGTAAAAGGCAGTACATCAAAGACCCTGCAGCCCCTGCCATGTTATCCTAAAGAGATGAACAATTCCTCCAACAGAAAGGTCGGGAAGTGTCGCATAAAACGCTCCATCCGCGAGCAATTACCATCGATACATGATCGTCGATCCCAGATGGTTAGAGAACGAGGCTTAAGCTCAGACTCGAGTGCCAGGGCACGCACACCCCTGCGAGATCGTAATTTCGACTTAGCGTCGATTTATCGTGGCGGTGGACCATGGACGCAAGTCTTATTTTTTTTCCGGTTGGTAATAGCGTGGAAGGTGCGGCGGTCACGTTCGTTTATATCAATGGCCGTACGGTTCTTCAGCGGCGACTCGTTCTGCCCTTTTCAGCCGCTTCTCATCCTTTTCTTCGTCTTCCTCGAATCGTCAAAGGTCCACGGACAGGTCCGTGACGAGTATCGGCGACGCTGGATTGACGCGAGCCACGCTTTTTGTGCGTCCTCCAACCGGTCTGGCCGGCTCTCCCTGAAGGGCAATCCGCCTCTTAGCTCGGTTTCCTCTTTGCAAAATAAGGTCGCACAGGAAGTGAATCTCCGTGGCTCGATGAAGGTCAGAATACCTCGGGATTAGTTTGGATGGGGAGGATGAATGGGTGAGGAAGTGGGCAGGAGTTTAAGACTTGCGTTCATGGCGCATGACGTTACTTTAAATTATTTGGATGCTTTTGTCAAAATGTTAACTTTTACTGTATGAGTTAATTATAAATGCAATTGATTACATCCCATATTTGTCCGGTGTACTTTATTTTTAATGTAAGAGTACCTACACGTTGGACCCTCAATATTAATGACCTACAGCTGGGGTTAAGAATGTGGATGAATGAAATTACATGGTAGAATGTAATAGTAAGTGAATGTTAGTGAAAGGCGTAGAAACTGAAGATTTTTTTGAAGAGAGGATATATGGAGAATTAGAAAGCGAGCACTAACGAGAAGACAGTACGTCTCGTGAGACATCCAGCGGCTCTCACCTGAACTACTGCTCATAAGACGTCACCTACCTTTACTATGTACCTATCTCAAATTATCAATCCCCAAAAGCCCATGAATAAACAATCAATACCAGTCTACATTACATTGCAATACAAATTGTAATCCCACAATCCCAACCCCAAACCTAACCCAATAACACAATTTGAAACCGTGAAAACTGAACCGAGTATCTAAATTTCACGTGTGAAAATTTAAAGCGAAAATTCCTTATCCATCAAAACACCTTCCAGGCTACTTCATAAGCGTTAATGGTCAGCAAACGTTTCATAAGCGATTTCGGCATTTTTATGTCGCGTAAGCCGGCGGCGCAGTTAAACAACGGTAAATTAGCCAAACACCGTTCATTTTTCTCGCAGCGTGCCGCGTTGAATCCCATCGCGAACATTATGCATACGTTGCGTGTGTAATTACACGGATCAAAATTGCATGACGTGATACGGTAAAATGAGAGTAGAAAAAAAGAGAAGCGTCGTAAAAGGGTGGGGATGGAACCGGGGGTAAATAGCCAGTGTCCCGTCGCTTTTAAACTCGTTTTAGATTGCACGTTTCGAAACGATTGTTATCGCTCAACAGTCATCGTTGGTTAGTTTACATAGCAGCCGGGTATCGATCGACATTCCCGGTAATTACGTATTGTCTGCAGAACGCTGGTGTGCCGGTATTATGCGACGATACACGCGTCACAAAGTCTCCCTTTCGCGTGTGAACGATGTGAAACGTGTCACAAACATGTGCCCCGACTGCCAATAAAATCCGCGGACTAGACGCCAGCCATCTTTAACGAACTTCTCTGCTCGTTAGACACTTTTCGGATTTCTCTTTTCAAGATTATAATTTGAACACGATCCTTTTTGCAATGCACAACGTTCTCCGTGGCTCAAAGGACGACTCGAAATAACGAAGATCGCGTTGCGCAAAAAATGAGCAACCATTTTCGCGAAAAGGCCATCGTGTAACGAGATGCAAACTTGCGGTACTTTCAAACGAAACTTTTAGATAACCGTGGAACTTGAGGAGCTGCTAATCCATATTTATGGACTGTCGTCGAATGTTTTTATAGAAACATTTCCAACCCTTTGTGCGGTTGGACAATGGTATTGTCCCGATTTACCGGAATGTTTTGTCAGGTGCTCGAACGGTAAATCAGGCTCTCATCTAGTCGTTACTCATCAAGTTTTTCTATGTCGAGCTCAATCGAATCAACACACGCGTCAGATCTCGATTTAGATTTCAATAAACCTCGAATCTGTCGGTTTTGATAAGATTGTTGGAATGCATTTTTGTACCTCGTTGCTGCAATTACAGGTGAGATGACGAGGCATAGAAGATAATTTATCAATTGCGTTTTTCTATCGTCGATAGAATACCTTACCTTCAGATAGCGAAACAATAACAAACTGTGTCAAGAACGTCGCAAATATTTGCGAGAAAGGACGTTCGATTGAACGATAAAGAACTTAGAGATAGTACGCAGAATTATTTCATTTAATTGTGTCCGATAAGTGTATTGGTTTGAAGATTAACTGATGGGGAATTATTGACAATAGGAATTGGAAAGAACTGATATATTTTATATTTAAATGTTAAATATTTACATGGAACATATTGTTAAATTCATGGTTAATTTGTTAGTATATTTAGTTTGTTAATAGGAATCGAGTGGACAAGTATCTAGGGACCAGATATCAAGCGGTCGATAGTAGGTGGACAGATATCAAGCGGTCGAGTACTGGGTGGACAGATATCAAGTGGTCGAGTGCTGGGTGGACAGATATCAAGCTTTCGAATACTAGACGGGCAGATATCAAGCGGTCGAATACTAGATGGACAGATATCAAGCGGTCGATAGTAGGTGAACAGATATCAAGCTGTCGAGTACTAGATGGACAGATATCAAGCTTTCGAGTACTAGGTGGCCAGATATCAAGCTTTCGAGTACTAGGTGGCCAGATATCAAGCTTTCGAGTACTAGGTGACCAAATATCAAGCTGTGGAGTACTAGATGTCCAGATATCAAGCTGTCGAGTACTAGGTAGCCAGATATCAAGCTGTCGAGTACTAAATGACCAGATATCAAGCTGTCGAGTACTATGTGGTCAGATATCAAGCTGTCAAGTACTAGGTGACCAGATATCAAGCAACCAGATACGAACAGATATCAAGCTAACATCTAGCTTAATTTTTTAAATAAGTCACCATTAATTCTCATAAATTCTGACATTCAAAGACCACGAAGAGAACTTCATTTAAGCAACCCCTTTATTAATTATTAAACCTTACTGCAGTATTTATGTTCTTCACACGAACAGATTTAAAAAAATTCACCCGTTATATCCAGAACATTTTAATTGCATACCAAGTGCAAAATAAAACGAAATTCTGAAATTACCGGCACGTAGCAAAAATGTACAATGTGTCCGAACAAATGAATTCATTAATAATTAAATGTAACGAGAAAAGGGACAATTAATTATTATGCATGCTTGAAGCTAGAAATTGAAATATTTTTCGTACAAATATATTGAAATTAAACATGGAAATAACATACCTTTATCCCTGAATATCGTTTAATTATAATATGTTACAATTGAACAAAAATCGGAGAATTCGTAATACACGAACCGATCGAATATTTGCTAAATTTTTTTCTCGGTTCTTTTTACAAATTTTTTTTTTGTTGGAGAGGTTTGTTTCGCGCGAACAACGTTGTTCGATTTCGCAACTTTTTCGAGAGGGACTCCTTTCGAACAGTGTTTAAACGTTGAACGACAGAACGAGCGGCAAACTGGATCGGCGTAATGCGAAATCAATTGTAAGGCAATTAAAGCGGAGTGCCATCGTTGCTTAGCACATAAAGCTTCCAAAACTCGATCGTCAAGTGAGCACCCGGTTATTGCACTGTTTGCTGTAGCTACGACCGTCCGCATTCATTTGAATTTTAAACAGTTTTTCCGATCTTTCTGTAAAGCGATCCCGCGGATTCCATTATACGCAATTACGAGGCCGGTTTCTCCGTTTTAAATCCACGGAACACCGTGTCGATGTTTGCGAATTTCCCGCTGGAAATTTCGACGCTTGTGTACCTTCGATCAGTATGCAAAAAGTGTTGAGTTTCCATCAATGCGCAATCGTTTCAACTTTGCAATTTGCACCATTCGCGTCTCCTCGGGTTTCAAAGTTTCACGGAACCTTCTGTTTTTCCTGCAATCTTCGTGTCCCTTTTGACTTCGCATTTTCAGGTGAAATTTCAGAAACTCGCCAGAAATATTTACAATTAACCAGCACAAAGTTTCGCGCTGTATAATTTATATCTCCCCTAGTTTACATTTCACAGCAATTTTTGTAGTTTTCAAAAAAATTTACGATTATGACAAAGTTAGTAATTTGTTTCTGTGGAATTATGCAGTGTATTTGAAGTAGTTCGAGATGTCAAGAATGAAAGGAGGAAAAATGGAGTCATAAGAGATAATTGCAAAATTTGTTCGCATTGCGTGCACTTAGGAGTACAAGCGTTGCGTAGAAGACTTTCTGCACGCTACCGAATCATCAGCCAAAAGAGCCATAATGAGATAACATGTTACGAAGTATAGTCAATTTAATGATACAAATTACACGTGTTTGCCACGCGATGCAGCAAATATTTAGTTTAGGAGAAAACTACCCTCAAATTTTATCGTTAAATTATATACCTGCAGTTATGAATTGAGCCTTGATTTATAAAAACTATATTTCTTAAGATGGGTGCTTTATACTCTTTCAAATAAAATACTACTTGAGTTTAAAAATGTGAAAAGAGTTATTTTTATGTATTTTTCTGTTTTTGTCATTGGGGGTTGAAAATGACTTGGCTGGGGTCATCTAGTAGCCATTGATGAAACTAGCAAAATTTGAGTCTTAACTGAACACATAATCGCCATATTTTGACTCCTAAAACACCCTAAAGTCAATATTAATAAGTCTATAACAAATACATAGCATATTAATCAATAAAATCAATAATAATTGGATTTTTATAAAAATTGAACTGGTGGCGCCATCTCTCCGGTGAACAGGGTGAACTACACACTTTTGAAACAGGGGTTTCGTTAGTTCCCACCGCTGCCACCAGATGGCGCCAAAGTTCTAGCCATCTAGCGGTGCCTGGTTGAAACTAATAAAACTACCCATTTATTTTCCACATTGATTAATAAAAAATATTACTGGTATACACTTAATTTAAAAAATTACTTTTTTATTTACATGTATGTTGTATGCAACATTGTTTGTATGCAACAACGTATAAGGAAATACAAATTTATAATTATCTATTTTGATCTAAGATATTATCACTTGATCTGTTTGCGAGAGTCCTTGTATCTTCCGTCGGAGTTACTGTTTTCTGCGAGTCGGGTAATTCAGTTTTTTGATCAGTAGGCGAATGTGAATCGGATATCTTCATTTTTTCTAGGGACGCAGTAGTTGTATTTGTTTCGGTATTCTCAGATACCGATGTTTCATTGGAAGTTTTTTGTAGCATCAGTGACTGTACATTAGAAACGGAATGCGGGGAAGTAATGGAATCTTTGGTGTTTTTTGGAACCGGTAATAAAGGCGCTAAGGGTTCTAATATACTGTTTCTGTTTAAATATGTTATTCCCTGTAAAAAAAGTAGTTCATATTTATATATTTTATATAGTATTAAATAACACGTCTACTTTAATGAAATAAGTTTTTAAAATTCTGCTATAACCATTTTAATATTTAATAAATATAAACATTTTACATACCTCTTTTTGTAATAAATTCTCTGAAATTCCTAAATGGACTGCAGTTTGACTTGGTGGAAAAATAAGATGAATACAATACTGTACATAAGGAATTAGTTGTTCGCTTAAACTCTCTATAAATCTAAGCATATTCTCTCTTTCTGATGCTGTAAAAGCCTATAAAATGCAAGTCATATTGATTACAACCACTTAATCAAAGAATAATTATAAAAAAAATTGACTCACTTGTTGTTCTTGTTTATAAAAAAACAATATTGACTTGGTCACACTGTATAAAGATTCCTGTAAAATATTTGTACAGAAAACAGAAAGCGCCACTGGCGGACAGAGTCGTATTTCATTGAAAGCTGATATGAGACCATTGCAGTATTCAGCTAGTGGATAGAATTCCACCAATTGTTCTGGTGGATTTTCCTAAAAAGAATAATTTTTATTAAAATAAATTCCTTTAAGATTATTTGGACTGTTTAATCAATTACTTACTGATTTAATTGCAGTAGTCATTTTGACATTAGTTTTTTGTGATTTATTAATTAACGTAAATGATTCCATATCTTTTTCAAATTTTTTAGTTGTTTTATGAACACTGGACTCGAATTTTTCCCCAATAACGCGTACAAATATATCAGACATGCGCCCAGTAAAATCTGCACCCACTCTACCAAATGATAAACCAAAATATGTACACTGACCCAGAATAGAATCTATAGATGTTACACCAGGTAAATCCTGTTCTAAAGTTATTAAAAACTGAGATATCTAAAAAAGAATACATAAACTTTTATACTTTAATATTAATATTATGTCATAAAGTTAATAATTTATGATCACTGTACCTTTTCTTCTAGCCAGTGATAAAATATAGCACATTCATTTACAGTTGGATCTCTTCCTGGTATTATAAGTTCATCATCGTTAAACATAGCTCTATATTGTGTGATTATATTAAACAAATGTATCCTTGATAATTCTATTGTTTTTGTGATATGAAGATTAGCTAAAAGAAATCCATTAAATATTAATAACCTGTATCAGCAACTTGCATCAATAACTTATAATGCAAGATTAACTTACGATCATCTTTAGGTATTGCATTTAAAAGATTTTGAAGCCAACTGTCACGAGCTTGTAAGAATTTGATTCGTAATTCTGATTCTGTGAAAGCATCCATTGATCGTAGCAATCCAACAAGTTGTAAGCATCTTGGAAGTGGTAGATCTCCTCTCAATGACCCAACAACTTGTCCTACCATACCAGACCAACTGCTTTCAATTTCTGCCACTATGGACTATATTGTTAATAAACAAAGTGAAATACATTTTGTATTGCATACACTTCTTATAACAAATCTTACCGATATGATTGGAATATCTCCATGTTTTGTTCCTAATTGACGTGCATATTGAGATAATTCTAATGCTTCGTTATATTGATTACTTCTTAAACAGGATTCCATTAATTGAGGCATTTCAAGCACTTCAAGTAACTCTGCATTTCTGGTTAATGTTAAACTATTTATTCTTCTATGTGTATTTATATCCTTTGAAGTATCACAAAATGATTGGCACTTCTCCACAAATTTGGGTATTTTTTGCACAAGTCCATTAAGTCGATTTTCAGTCTCATTAAACTTAAACCATGTAATATGTTTTTAGTAGCAAATAAATTAATGATACTATTAAGATTATTAACACAATGTATGCAGGACAAGTTTAAATACATTAAATACAAATAAACATTTAACAAAGTACTTGAAATGAGACACATATTAGCCTGCATGCAATGTGTTAACATATATCTTATCATTACTTGTTTAAATATCTCCCTGGAACTTTCTGCAGTTTGAATAAAGGTTTTATAATTTGCAAAAGCAAGTTCTTGTGTAGTTTGTAACACTGAGGTTTTCTCATCATTTAAATGGTCAGGTTCTTTACCTACAAGATATAAATTGCAAATTTTTGTTCAAGGTAACAAAATCTTGAATAGTGAACTGACTTACTAAGTTGATCAACGTCATAACCACCAAGCTTTGATAAGTACTGGTAAAAATCTGGACTTTCTTTCCATGATTCTGTCAAAAAAAAACATATAATTTTAAAAGCTTTGATGAAATAACAATTTACACATTCAATACCACTGGTATATTGAAATTTTATACTAACTATAAGAGTAGTTAACAATCTCACCTGGTATACCGTCAGGAAAAACAAGATTTATAACATTCTCAGTTTCGATATCCATTTTTCAATTGAAAAATACATTTATGTGGTTTTACGTAATATTTAAATCGCTTCTACAGATTTTACATCGTAGAATACGTGCACAAAAAGTGACATATCTTGCTTCGCTATTAGAATATCGTATATTATATACGGTACAATTATTGGTCATTCATTGCGTTGGCAACGTGGACATACGAAACCATGGTTGGCAATATACATTTTGCAAGTTTGGTAGGCTTTCCTAGGAACCAATTATGACATAGTGGAAAAAGACCCCACATTCACTGAATTTTCAAATTCTCAGATCGATAAAAAACTTTAAAACTTTTGGAATTCAAGGGTTTGACAAATTTGGAAATACTATTAGTATCGATATATAACTGCTAAATACACTAAATTTCTCTAAGAAAAAAAAAGATAATGTCAGGGTAGGAAATCGCATCAATCATCTCAAAATCCGAAAATTACAATTACCTCGTTTACATGAAACATTGAGATATGTAACAAAATTGTCCGTATAAACACTGAAGTTGCTAATTTCTAACATACTTGGTTATTGAAGTACTTACAAGATAATCAGGTATATGAACAAAATTTATCTAAGTATTCATAAGTATAGTTACTTATGAGTGTGAACTTGGAGGGGAATCGAGGGGTTCCCCATGTTTGAAAGTGGAATCATAAAGGCATACGTCATATCAGATATAATTGTTGATATGAAAGTTTCTATCAAGTCTGAGAAGAGTATTAATTGTTTTGTTTTCTCATAATACTACAGAAATATTTCATTGTTATTTACACATAATGTTTAAAGAATATCAAAAACTACGGCCGGAGAAATATCTCCAAAAATGTGATAATATTCTACCAGTTCCTGAGTTCTTTCCAAATCCACGATTGGAAGGATGGTGTGACAAAAAGCTCGCAGAATTACGTGCTCCATTATCATTTCCTCACATGACATACAATCGTAAAAACTTAAACTGGATTCTAATTCGATTTTTTGATTTATACCTAACAGGATTTATCCGTGAAGAGGATTTTTTAACTTCCATTGTATTTGACATGATAGCATTAGCTGAAACAGACAAAGGTAAAATCTGGACTATACCTCATCCAGAAGCTGTGCCTTTCTACAAACAAAATCTTTCACAACCAAACTCATTGTCAATAGTTACTGTAAGTAGAACTTTTGAAATAAAGTTCTATGATAAAAACTGGGGTGAAAAACAACGACTCTTTTGGAACTATATATATGCAATAATTCAAAATATTAATCCAGCTGATACAGCTACTGAAGCAGAGACTGAGTTGATCAAGTTAGGATCTTTTCTTGCTCTAACATTGATGCGATTTGCTATAAGAAAAAAGGAGCAAGTAAGTCATTGTTTTCATAAGGATAAATATAAGGAAAACCTAGCACATATGAAACTTTGGCCAGCTGAAAAACCTTTCTCTCCACCATGCGATAGATGTCTTGAAATTTGTGAGAATGGTTTGAAAAAAGGACTTCGTTCCACTTCTCATATTTTCACTATAATAGTTCATGAATTTGTATTGACTAAGAATCCTGATTATCATAATTCAAGTGCTGCTATATTTCTTAAAAATGCAGTTTTAGCTGACACTGCTAGAAATGGTCTTGGTATGATCCAACTATTGCAAGATGTATGCACACTTACATCAATGAGTTGGAAAGAGATAATGGAAAAAACTTTATGGGAAGTTACTGAAACATCATGGGAAAGAATCAGTAAATTTTTCCAGACCCAATATTCTGTTGATAATCCTCAACATAGTTTTAATTGGACTAGAATTATCGACGATCGATACTTCAAGGATTTAACGCAAAAAGAAAATATCTTCCTAGCAACAGTGTTTGCTGCTGTTATAGCAAAAGTACATGGACCTGGAATTTGGAATGCTGAATGGGCCAAAAAATCCATAAATTTTCCAAATGCCAAAATTGAAGGATATAAACTTCATCAATATTCTCAAAACAGAAAAAATACCTAAAAGATTTGGTAAAGTTTGAGATCCAAGATTTATACACCTCTTATGAAATATGTATTTAAAATATTATAATTTATTACATTATGCTACAATTAAATTTTAAGTATTTCATATACTTCTTTATGTACTATACAATGTTTCACAAGTTTGACTTCTGCAGATATTTGCAGAAAAATATTGATATATTGTAATAAGTAACTTTTTAGTTTCATTTTATGTTTTATTTGTAATTTTTATGTAAGTAGAAATATTTTACTTAATAAGTAACAAATGCATATATAAACTATTTTTAGTTTATACATATATTTAACATATTAAAGAAGATATAAAAGTTAGAAAAGATATAGATTTGTGTAACATCAAAAAACAATAGATTTATATCTTTTGTTTTATGCTATTTGAAATATTGCGCACATAAAAAGTACCTACTCAATATTTAAAAGATTTGTATTCAAATAATACATTGTATAAAATACATATTTTTCACACGTGTATTTTTATATATTTTATACTTAACTATTCATTATTTCGATAATATTAAAAATATATGATCTATTGATATTAATTGATTAAAAAAAAAATAAAGAACTTAAAAAGTATAAGTTCAAATAAATCAATACATATCCTATTATATGATGAACCTTAACTTTAGAAGTATTACTCTTTTCTATTAGTCATTAAGTATATACATATATATTCAATAATTTCATTCATCTTGAGACTTTTTTTTCTTTTTCTTTTTCTTTTCAGTCGTAACTTGTTCACTGTGTTCTTCAGTTTGAGGTACACTTTCTTGAATCTCTCCAACACTTACATCTTGTAGCTCCTGTTTATTTTTCTTTTTCTTCTTCTTCTTTGTTTGTCCTACAAAAAAAGATTAAGAAAATATTAATATACATCATGTACATTATTTCATAATTCAAATCATTTAGAATACAATGTAAAAAATTAAAAATTTACCCTCTGATGTTTCAGGTTCATCTTTAGTAATTGTAGGAACTTCTACTTCTTCATCCCTACTAGTAGTAGCCTCAGTTTTATCTCCACTTCCTTCCAATTTTAATTTCTTCTTTTTCTTTTTTGATACTGGTGTAGCTTCTTCTTCAGGTTCTGCTTCAATTTCTTGTTGAATTGATGGTTCTTCTACATCTTCTTCAACTGATTTTTTTTTCTTTTTCTTTGGCATTTCATCATCTTTACTAGGAATTTCTTCAATTAATGGCTTCTTATCTTCAATTTCAGAATGTCGTCTTTTTGCACCATAAAGTGTTGTATCAGCAGTAGCAGGGTATTGCATATATTCACTTTTAGCGTGATATTTCTCGAATTTTGCTTTTGCTTTTCCTGTTCCACTAATTCTGCGAAGATTGCCTTCTTCTAATATCCTCAAACGTGCTTCTAGTTTAGCTTTATGTTCTGCACCCAGGTCAAAGTTTTCACCTTCTCCTAATGCATCTACCCTAGTTGCTAAGGAAGCTTTTGCAGCCAACATTCGAGACATCTTTCCTTTATTTTTTGCAGAAGACTGCCCAACAAGTTGTGCATGATAAATTAAACCATATTTTGGAGTATCTTTCTTAGTTTTTAATGCACGGAAAAGGGCCTTTTCTGCACCAAGTATTTGTACAGTAGATGCTGGATGTTTAGCAAGATTAATTAAAGATCCTGCATGTGAAATCAAGCGAGCTCCTACTAATTCTCCAACAAGTACAGTTAAATTTGGTGCCATTGCCATCATCCTTGCTTTGAGATAATCATACAACTGTGTTCTATATTGAGAAATTTCAATAACCTGATCACATAAATATTGAATATTTAAAATATCATCCTCAGAAATTTCAGTGCCCATAGATATTTCAGCAGCTTCTTTTACTTTCTCCTCTACATCTTCTGGCAATATATCAGATAAATCTGAATTTATAGCATTTTCTCTAGTCCCGATTATTTTTACAGTTTTTACAAATGCAATATTGTCTGTAATGATTTTCCCAAGTTCTGGAAAATGCCAGCCATACCACTCACGACAACGCATAACATAATTATTTAATTCTTTGTCTAAGTCATCTAATAGACAAACAGCTTGTATAATCATAGTATCAATTTTATCAGGTGAAAATTTCAGTTTATACCTAGAAAGACTATGTGCTAAACCTAATGCCATTGCTGTCATTTCTTTTTTTGGAAGACCAGCTAATAAGCTGTCAATCTGACTTCGTATGCATCTCATTAATTCCTGTATAGCAGTGTTGCTTACACATGATAAGCTAAGTTTGTCCTTTATGGCATTACCTAACTTTGTATCGGCTACAGCTAATTGCTCCTGAAGTTCACTGCAATGCTTTTTAAGAATTTTCTTCAGAGATTTACAAAGTTTACCCTCTACAGCAGCTGTAGTAGCAGCAAGAGCTTCAGTAGTATCCGCAAACTTTTCAAAGTGTTTTAGTTTGACTCTGCAATATAAAAGAAAAAGTTACAAAACTCAATGTTCTATAACATGAAATATAAAGTTAATGTAATAAGTTCTTCTAGACAAAATTTTTATTGATTTTTACATTACATGTACAGAAGTTAACTTACATTTGACTAGCCGCTTCTGGTGTCTCAAAATCATGATATAGATTCTCTACTTCTGCCAATTTTTGTTCATCAAGTAACTGGAAGAAAAAATGACATTTTATATGAAATCATTTTCGAATCAACATAATTTTCATATTTATTTTTCATCATTCATAGATCATTCAAAAGAAAATAAAAATTGTAAGTCTATGAACACGTGTCGCGTCCTTCAAGGTTATGTATTACTTAAAATCTTTTGGATTATGTACCTTAAATATTGCATATCCCGCCGGAGTTTCGAATAAGACCAACATTTTGAGGCGATTTTAGTAATGATTAAAAATGTATTGATAATTGTTTAATAACTTTTGCATTTGTTACAATGCTACTGAACACGCTAAACTTTAATAATGAATTCGTACAGTAGTTCCATCAATTCTTTGCGCCAATCGTCATTGGCGCTAGTAGTCACTAGTATCCTCATTGCACGTAGGCTCTCCTAGGGAAAAAGACAATGTAGGGGAAGAATACCCCCACCACTTGCGTGTATGCAAATCATAAACTTTAAAAATACAAGGATTGTATGTAATGCTAAGCCTAAATTAAGCAAACGAACATAGAGAACCTATATATTTTTATTTGCATTGTTAGTTTATTAAATAAACACCAACGTATATTTTTCTTATGTTTCGCACAGTGTAGATTCGGCATTATAGCAAGTGGTGGAGTCTTCTTCCCCTACATCAACATTTTCTTTAGGGAAGCCTAACCTGCGCGATACTCTGCAAGGTGTGATTATAAATTATATGCATGCACGTATGAAAATACAAGGAATGTATTGATATTTTTAAACGTAAATTAGTACCAAAAAAAAAATAAAAATCAAAAATCTGGTTTAATAAATTATTTTGTTATAAGAATATATAGGTTATTTTTTTCATGGCATAAATGGTCTTAAATTGCTGTAGTTTTGAACTTTCAATTAATGATCACATCAATCGATGAGGTTATTCTTGTTATTCTTCGCAGAAAATAATATATTTCTTAACAATGTAAATATATTAAATTGTAATCTAGAATAACCAACGCTATAGCACATATAAATTTCACACGCATAGATGTACTATATATATGTATGTATGGATGAATGCATATATACATACATATATATATCAACTGTGAGATAGAATGTGATAAAGTACAAAAGTTATGTTGAGGATATTGTGCGAAGGAACAACAGCGTGAGTAGGTGTAATAGCGTTACGATGTTGTATAAACATACAATAATTGATTAATTTTATTTTTTGTATTAATATGTTAATTTCAAATTGACTAGTCATAGTACTTTCTCGCGTAAATTATTTTTACATTTTTACTACGAGTGACATTCTCCACATGATGGGTTATTTTTTATATAATGGTTACATTTGTTTTCTTCGTTAAAAGAATATTTCAGTGAAATACGTTTAATAAATGTGATTTTTTTATGTTGTGATTTTCAGAGGATATTAACGATTTTTAATAAAATAAAACAGTTTATAAAACAAACACAGAAATGCTTCGTAACATACATGATAAAGATTATAGAGTTGTGGATTTAGTACGTCAACGTGAAATACGGGTATGTTAATAAGAATTTATATATTACAATTTAATCTTGTTTATTATTATAAAATTTTCGTATTATGTTATATCAAATTATATTTGAATACATTCGTATTTTTTTAATAATACTTTGTGTCTTTATGATTACATAGATGTAATACATTAAATGTTGATAATTTTTAAAAATAAATAATATAATTTGATTTACATTGTTTCCTTAGGATTCTGTGGCATATACAGTTTCTCAAAAATTACATGTCACAGAAAATTTGATATCACGATTAGGACTTGAAAAAGAATTGGTTGGTCATACAGGATGTGTCAATTGTTTAGAATGGAACGAAAGTGGACAGTAAGTATTAGTTAAATAACAAACTCAATAATGTAATAATGTAACTTGTTTTAATAACTATGAATTGATATTTATTTTTAGAATTCTGGCTTCAGCATCTGATGATATGAATATTATTTTGTGGGATCCATTTCGTTATGAAAAAAAGTTAGTACTTCGTACACGTCATCAAGGAAACATATTTTCTGTCAAGGTAATATAAATAACTAAATGTTAAACATTGCTTTTTGTTATCAGTAAAATAACACACTTCACTTTTAAATGTAATTAATTAATTTCTTTTCTAGTTTATGCCAAAATCAAATGATAGAATATTGGTGTCAGGTGCTGGAGATGGGAAAGTACGAGTACGTGATCTCACTATTCTTGAACCCATATTTTGGTGCAATTGTCATGTTGGTCGTGTCAAGCGAATTGCTACAGCATCTACTGTACCCTTTCTCTTCTGGAGTGCTGCAGAAGATGGTCTGATTTTACAGTATGATATTCGCACACCTCACAATTGTAAAAGCAATGACTGTAATAGTGTATTAGTGAATCTTGTCAATCATATGGGCCGATATGCAGAGGGCAAGTGTATTTCAGTGAATCCAAAAAAACCAGAATTAGTAGCCATTGGAGCAAATGATGCTTATATAAGAATGTACGACCGTAGAATGATTAAACTTTCTCAGGTAAGTTTGCATGAAATATGTAAACAATTATACATCAGAGTGTAACTTCCCCTTTAACTCTTTCATGTCATTTGAATGGTAGGTGCCTGTAGTTTCTTCTCCACATAGTGATTTGACAAGAGAAAATTTAAGTATATGCAGAGGTGGTGAAGGCGATCCAGATGAGAATATACCATTGGGTTGCGCACAGTACTTTATCGCGGGTTCGTTCGTACGATCAGAGATAGCGTACGCGACTCCTTTACCCTTATCTTCCTCTTTTGTTACATATTACATGATCACTCTAACAGAGATTGTTAATGTTTGATATTGAGCAGGCCATCTGCACTCTCGACAACGTGACAGTAACAGGAGTCTCACTACAACATATTTAACCTTCAGTGCTGATGGGAATGAGCTCCTTGTTAACATGGGCGGTGAACAAATTTATTTATTCGACATCAACAATCCAAAAAAGTCGAAAACTTGTTTTGGTTATTCCTCAAATACGTATTTAGGTAATTATTAAAATGATCACACAATTTTAAGTATCTTGTTAGTGTAAACATATGTGTAAAAACATCCACAATTCTTTAATTAACATGTGTATTTTGTTGACATAATACTAATAACTTTACACAAATAGCAAGGTAATGACAATTCACTTTTTGTATTATTCTATTATAATTTTGAATATATCATTCTTTTAGTTATATTATTTGTACATAAAATATGGGTATAATGTAAAAGAAATATTTTAATATTACAGGGGATTGCGGCAAATGCTGTACGGAAAAGGATAGTGAAGACAGTACCGATTTTACAATAAAAAATGAGAAAGTCCTACCACCACATGTTGAAGAATTAAAACGTCAAGTATGTTTATGCATGTCATATAATAATGTTTTCCTTCTTTCTTATTATTTCTTTTTCAGGCTAATGAAAGTTTTGAGCAACAAAAATATACTTTGGCAATTAATTTATACAATAAAGCAATCAGCTTATGTCCCAGTGCAGCTGTGCTTTATGCCAACAGAGCTGCAGCATATATGAAACGAACGTGGTAAGTGGACAAAAATAACATTTTAAGGAATGTTGAACAACATACCTGTGTACAAAGTAACTTAATTTGCTATTGTAGGGATGGTGATATATATGCTGCCCTCAAAGATTGTCAAACAACACTACTTCTTGATCCAGGACACGTAAAAGCTCATTTTAGGTAGTTGCAGACATAGCAATATATAGTAATACATAGTAATATATTAATGGTTAGGTATATTATATATACATATAAATTTATAGATTGGCCCGTTGTCTTTTTAATTTACATCGATCAATGGAAGCCGATGAAGTAATCAAAGACTTTCAACAAAAGTTTCCTGAGTATGCATCTAACTCAGCGTGTAAAGCATTAAAAATGGATATAAAAGAAGCTATAGATACTGGTATGTCTTTTAAGTTAGACTGACATTGGTAGAGTACCTAGCGCTAATACTTAGCGTTACACAAAATTGATTTTATAAGCATAGCCTTCACAATGAATTTTTTATCATTACTGTATACTCAGGTAGAGATAATGATATGAATCTATCAATGTTACAAATATCGGAATATGAACAAGAATGGAGACGCAACACAATTGATTATAAAATGAGATTTTGTGGACACTGTAATACAACAACTGACATAAAAGAAGCTAATTTTTTTGGGAAGTAAGTACAGGATTTTGATAAAATTGGTGAATTATTTTGAAAGTTAATTCTATTTATAATTATCAATTTTTTCTTTAAGCAATGGTCAATATATTGTGGCAGGATCAGATGATGGTTCTTTCTTTATTTGGGATCGTAATACTACAAATATAATACGCGTCTTAAGAGGAGATGAACGGATCGTAAACTGCCTCCAGCCTCATCCATCCACATGTTTATTAGCTACTAGTGGTATTGATCCAGTAGTTAGATTATGGAGTCCTTTACCTGAGGTAAATATAATAATTTCATGGTGCACTATATATGCACACACAATTTAACTTATTCTACGTTTGTAAAATATAGGATGGTACTGTAAACGAAAGAGAAATCCAAAATTTAGAAGATGCTGCATCTGCAAATCAAATTCGTATGAACAGCGATCCATTTGAAGTGATGCTCATGAATATGGGATATCGATTTCCTGTCCAACAAGCTGACGTAAACGAAGATGGTGACGATCATCAAGATCAGTCAATTGTGCAACCATTGAATTGTAGACCAAGTTAAATTTTAAAAGAGATTTAAAATGTGGTACGAAATCGCAACTAAATAACTAAAGACTTAATCAGTGTTATAATGTAGAATATTGATGCTTTAATTGCAATTATCTATTTTTTTATCAATTCCTTATAGGCGTTGACTTTTCCATAAATAAAATATTAAAGAATATTTGGTAAAGTGTTAATAATACAAGTGTTGAAAGAAAGCAACGTAGTTGTATTAAACAGTTGTAGAACATCAGTCATAAAATTTTTTATAAATAAGATAACAAAGTATACTTGGAGAAACAATGCGTTAAAACAATAGTTATGTTAAAACAGTTTATGAAATGCAATTAATATCTTATATAATGTTTATGTACATAGATTTATTACATTTCTATTTCTTTCATAAATTCATCAACCATGTCCTAAAAAAATCAAGAAAGGTAAATTTAAAACAAAAGAAGATATTGAATAGTATGTTTTACTATAATTTTTTTATTTTTGCTAAACAATTAGGTAAAATTAAATATGTAATTATACTTCCATTTAAAACATTAATACATACTGTAAATTAAATTTATATGTAAATTTTTACATATAAAGAAGTAATCTTTATATAACATTTAAAATTAAAATTTACTGATATATGTCAATTAATTTGAAGGTACCAGTTCCCATAGACTTTGCAATGTACTAGTTTCTCTAGGTTCTTCTGCTGCGAGCCCTAAATAAGTTGAAAAGCTAGGTTTTCTTTGATCTGATTCTTCAGAAAAATAATAACCAAACACACTTGAAATTTCAATTTGACTGTCTTGTATTTCAGAATGTTGTTCTACATTGAACTCTTGTTGTAATGAAGCCTGTAATAATTGAATTATTAATTTACAGTGTATTGTATTTATTTATTTAATAAATTTTTTGTAAGAGTAGTATAATATTACCTGATGTTCAACTGTATAATCTACACCAAAGATAGGAGATTTCTCGAATGTTTTTAACAAAGTTGAAATTTCTTTATGAAGAGTATAAAGCTTTGCTGGAGGGTCAACTCGAAATCCTAATACATAGCTCCCACTAAATTCTGTACTTACAATGACTAAAGTTGGACCAAACTTTGAATTTTTTACAGCGAGCTATAAAGGCATAGCAGCTTTTAACCACACTCTTCATAATACAATTTTAACATTTTATAAAATATCTACTTACTTTTGCTATTACAAGATAAGGAATTGATATATTGAATTGATCATTCATATCAGCAAACCATACTAAACGTATGTTTGTTACAATAAAAGTTCCAATATTTCCCTATCAAAATAAATTTTAATATATAGCTATTCAGAATCAAAATTACTATAAACCATAAGTGGATTTAACCTGTTCTATTGACAAATTCCAAATATCCTGCAAAGTTACATGAATTGTTTCTTGTGGCAGCAAAATTAATTGTTTATCATTGATTATTCCACTTCTTAACTTAATTTCTCGGTAAATTTTAGATGAAATATATGCTCTGTAATATTTAAGAACTGTTGTTTTTATACTTAATCACCATATGAATCCACAATGAAATATAATAAATATCAGTAAATTATGAGACATCCAGGAATATTGAGAATTAGTAATGGTCATATAAAAAGATAGTTTATTCCTCATTAGAGACAGTAACTAATAAAATCTCTTGATTAAGAATATTTTTTATCCCTATCCAATGTTATAAGACATATCAGAAATACTAAATTATATTCAAGATATACCTGTATATGCCAACAACAGATGTAAAATGTCTTGTACTTTTTGAATCCTGATTTACAAATATAAATTCATATCTGCAGTTTCGAAAAGAAGCTAAAATATGTACAGCTTGCATATATTTTCCATGTAACTATAAAAATGATATTTTCTTGTTATTCTTGTATAAATAAAAGATGTTTGAGTTTATTAAAATATACTGACAGTGCTTATGGTTTTAGAATTTACTGTTATGAAAGTATTATAACCGATACCTGTGAAAAAACATTTAAATGAGAATATATTGCCATTAAAAAAAGTCTGTTATTAACTAATTAGAAATGAGTTATTGTTATACTTTAAATTTAATGTGATTCATACTTAAATTGATGCGTGGAAGAAGCAAGGAGTGCCATATAATTCTGAGGTTCGTCACTATAAGTCTTCCATTCTCACCTGCATTCCCTTTTGCATCTTCTATTAAATCTAATTTATCAATAGTAAACTCTCCTAACTGCAATTGCATCTGCCTGATAAAAACATAAAATTTGTGAACTAAAATTTTGCTTTAACATTTTTTACGATACAGAAAAAATACATATCCTATTATTTTAAACAAAATAATATTTATTTGAATAGTAAACTTTAATTGTATATTCAATAATATTAATATTCTAACTTTAATAAAAATTTTAAGATCTATATAATAATAAGATTACAGGAATAAAATACAAATCAAACAAATAACATTTAAATTAAAAATTGCATGCAATAATATTAAAGAAGTTACGCATAAGAAATGTCGAATCGAATTTCACTATCTTGCCACATATTTCATAATAATATGATAACAGTATATTTTGACATTTGTTTCATATAAATAAAATCAATATTGTTGTTATTACAGGTATATCTATGGAAACCTAACTCTTAACATACTGAATGAATTAAAGAATCGAAGACAGGTGGTGGAGCATGAAAAGCCTGTTAGGACGTTTAAAAACTCTTATTGTAGTTCTAATTATTAACTTCACTGTAAAAATATATTTAATATTTTCAAAACACTGTTTGAATTCACTTATTTTCACATTTTCGCGCCGTTATAAGGCGGAGCTACTGTCAACGCCGCCCTAAAAGTCAAAAGAACTAGTAGTTCGCGCAAATATTCAAAATGCGAAAGGAAATAATTTATATTGCAGTTCTGTCATATGCTTAACCACAGTAGCACATGGATCCTCTAGTGACGAGAGGAAATTCAATAATTACAACGTTGTCATTACTACTATTGTTATCAATATATATTTATAGCATCTAGATTTTGGTAATCAAACACGTTGTAAAATTAATAATCGTACCGGAGTTAAAGAAGGAGAAAGAGATATAGCAATGTACTGCTAGTTATACCCATAACCAAAGTATTAATTTTTAAATGTCAAAGGAAGCTTATAATTGCTAATGTCATAATATTAGTTTCAGATACATGTAAGTGTTATTAAGGATAATTAAATATATGAATTTATAAATTATATATAATAATTTTAAGCTTTAAATGTTAGTCAACATTTTTAATTAGCATTTAATGTAATTCAATTATTACTACATACTTTATCTACTTATTTAATTTAATATATGATACTTTACTGGAAAATAGACAATTATCTAGCAATTTTATCAGATCTTCATCCTTGTCATATTGTTATCATGTAACATATTGTAAGTTGTGAAGCAATTTTATTTTATTTTTTATTATGTATATTTTGTTTCCTACCATTCATATTTTATTTTATTTTTTGAAATTGGAATTAATAATAATAATTGTTTCCAAAGCAAATTTTTATATATAATACTTTGAAAGAACAGAAATTTAAAAGGTATATTATATTTCCTTGTTGAATATTTATAATACTTCGTTACTTATTCAATTTATTTACTACATTTCACAATAATAATTGAATTTATATTTAAATAAGTATATTAATATTAAATTATGTTTACAGATATTCACTTAATATACCAACAAGATGAAGCGTGCACGGATAAAAGCTATGGTTACAGTTCCAGCCCGACGAAAAACAACACAAGATGCACCTATTACAGAAAGTGTTGATGTAACTGAATGCAATGAAAAAAATAAAGATACATGTGATAATATTTGTAAAGTATCTCAAGAAACAACACAAAATAATGTTGAAAAGAATCAAATTCAAGAAAGTTTGGTAGTGGAAGATGCAGAAAAGGAACATATTATAGAAAAAAATGATTCTATACAAAGTTCTGAAAATGAACAAAAATATGAACACAAAACTGAATATAAAAATGAACATAAAAACGAGTATAAAAATGAACATAAAAACGAACATAAAAATGAACATAAAGATTCTGCACAAACTTTTGATGAATCAAGAAAAGAGACTATACAATCATCAGAAACTTCAAATACAATACAAATTAGTAAGTATAGTAAATGCAATGGCTTATCATTACTGCAAAATTAATTATTAAAATATTTTATAATTTTTTAGGTTCTCCTATAAAATCAACACAAAATCGCTTGGGTTTCATGAGACCCACTCCTAAATTAGACAGTGGAGGTAGGGTAAGAAGAAACAGCATACAAGGAAGTGGAGCAAGTGCAAGTGAATCTGAAGATGATAGTAGAAGAACAACTAGCACCCTTAACAATAATATGAAAAATGATTCAGTTCAATCAACTCAAAATACTAAAGATACTGCTGTTAATAATACCAAGAATAATTTAATGAAATCTAAAGCAGGTCAAAAGAGACGTATGTTAGTTTCAGAATCTGCAAGAAAATTAGCAGAAGCTAGGAGAGAATTTCATTTAAAACATGAAAATAAAGCTCCAGATAGAAGTAAACTTACAATGTATGATTTAATATACTACAATCCTGTTAGTAACCCTATGAAAAAATCCAAAGAATCAGGAACAGCAGCAAAAAAAGTATTAGAATACCAGTAGGTTTCTTAGATGATAGTAATTAATGTTATGGTAATATTTGAAAGATGTTCCAATTTTAATTTTAAGTGAATCAAATAAAAATAATATATATTATAATTTATTATTATAGACCTGATGAACAAGAAGAAGAAGAAGAAAATGAAGATGATCCATCATCTGCAATGCCTGTACCCCAAGTAAAAGTTGGGCCAAATGGTGAATTAATAATAGATGAACAAAGTCTTGTTATAGAACAAACAAATGCAAAGAAAAATAGAGAGGTATTAGCAAAAGAAGCTATCGTTGATGATGATAATAATGGAAACGGATTTTATAAAAAACGCCAAAAGAGTAAAGATTGGCCAAAATGGGAAACTTTAAAATTTTATAAAGCATTAAATACAGTTGGTACAGATTTTTTATTGATGCAAAGTCTTTTTCCAAATAGAACAAGACAAGAAATTAAAATAAAATTTAAAAAAGAAGAAAAAGTAAATAGGAATTTGGTTGAAAAAGCGCTTGCAAACCATCAAGAATTTGATACTGAAATTTTGGAAAAATCATTAGGTAATTATAGAAAATGAATTTTAATTATTCTATGCATATAAATGATTTAATTAATAAGCAGCAAAATAAAATATTTAATTATTTCAATGTATACCTCTTAATTAATTAACTTTGTTAACAGCTACTTTTGAAAATTCAGAGAAAGAACAAGTTAATATATTAGAAAGACGAAAACAACAAAGATCAAAAAATAAAAGAGGCATGACCTCTGATAGGAAGCGACGAATCAGTAAGTTAAAATAAGTATAAACAATAAATCTTATCATTTTTCAATTTTTTAAATATATTTATTTAATACTTATAATTTCTGTTTTTAGGAATTGTAGCATCCAGCATTGCAGAAATGGATGCTTCAGACAAAGATATGAGTTCGCTAGATACAATGCAAAAAGAGAATACAGAAGTAAGTAATGAATGCTATCAATCTTTAAATGAAGCAAATAAAAGAGGATGTAAAAGACCAAAAGATGATAAATCTTTAGATGAAGCAGATGATGTAGAAACAGTAAGTGTGTGTAGTGAGTATGATAGTGATACAGAGATTTATCGTGTGAGACCAACAAGATCTGGAAGGCTTCCAAAAATAAAAAAACTACAGGGGCCAGATATAAATACTCTGGACAGTGAAAGATCTAATCATTGTTCTAATAGCGATACAGAAGTTTCGGAAAATTTAATTCCAGACAGTACTGCTTTTAAATCAGAAACTCAATATACAGATCCTATTAAAACAGTTATACCGAGTATCAGTCATGTAGAACCAGGATCTTTAGTAATTCTATCTAAAGAATCGCCAGAAGAACCCGGTAAAAATGTTTTACAAGTTTACATGGTTAGCTCTAATGTTAATTCGGAAACTTCTGAACAATCTAATATCACGCCTATAAATTTATCACCAGAACTATTAGCAACTGTTACTACCAAATTGTCAGACGCAGAATCGATTGCAGTAAAAACAGAACATGAGTAATTCATTTAAAAATATTTAATACTAGTTAGATTATCAATTAGCTGTAAATACCCACATATATATACGATCAAAGAAGCATTTCTTCAACGTGATAATTAATATTTGTTTAAATATTAAAGTACAACTAAGTTATTAAACTTTATACAAAAATCTTCCAATTAAGATACTTACTTCATAATTATGTTATTTTTTAATAAAGAATAATAATTCCGTTTAAACATGCATATACTTTTATATATGTGTTTGTACATATTTGTATTATTTGTTTACAAGATTAATAAGTTGCTAACCATTTTGACATTTATTATAAGAAAATATTAAAAATACATACTTTAAAAATATACATATATATTTATTTAAAATATAAGCAAAAGTAATATCGAGTACTACATTTGTTTATTTTTTTTAATATGTTTTTAATTAAAAATATTTTAAAATGTAATATATTACGTATTATGTAATTAATTTGTTAGCATTTTGGCTTAAATTAAACTTAATAAAAAATATACCTAATAATTTTTATTTTTATTGTATTAGAAAGAAATAAAATATTCATAAAAATTAAAGTGTATTTAAGCTATCAATAAAAATACATATTTGCATAATGATAGGTATAAAACATAAAATAATTTATACAAAAGTCTTTAGTAGCATAATTCTAAGGTGTCACACGGAATCCATTTCGAACTTTCCAATGCATCCCATAAATTATAATCTTGCTCTATTGTTTCTCTATTAAGTTTGTCTATATCTATGGGTACTGAATGCTCTGCAAAGAAAAATTAGATTTAAATTACTACTGTTTATTTAAAAAATAAAACAATTTAATTATCTATAAGTTTCTTCACTTACCAATTAGTTCTAATTCATCTTCCTCAGGTTTTTGATCTGATACATAACTATTATATCCATCTGACGTCGGTTCACTTTCGTAATAACCTTGTTGCCATGCACTATAACTGTTCCAATATGATGATGTATCATAATAATTATAAGCATCTGAATTCATATTTGATGGTGTGTATTCAGATGATGATTGTGGGGGTGTAGATCTAAAAGACAGAAAATATTAATTAGTAAACTTAGACGATAGAACATTTGTATGTACTTCAGGACACTAAAATATGTTTACTGTACCCTGCTATTTTATTCCAGGGCCTAGGAACAGCATTACAGATTTTCAATGATTTAGTTCCTAATCCTCTGTATCCATTCATAGTGACCAAACTATTTTTCTGTTCTTCCTCATTAGCAAATCTAACAAAACCATATCCTTTACTAAATCCAGAACTGTCCAGAATTACTTTTGCCGTTCTAATCGAATTATATTTGGCAGCAAACGCTCTATACAAAGAATAGTCGTCTACATCTGTCGATAAATCTCCAACCCAAATACTAAATTCTCTTTCTGCTGCTGGCTTTCCTGTTGTACTAGCATGATTTAATCGAAATCTTACAGCCTAAAAAATAAAAATAAATGAAAAACGTAATTTTAACTCATTGCATACCACGTTCTGCTCGTGCAACCGCCATGATGGTTCGTGCAGCTGTTTCAGACTTCTTTTGTTATAAAGGAAACTGGTAAAATTTTATCCCAATAAAGTAACAACTAACTAAATTAAATTGTAAATTCACGGAGCAGCCAATATATTCGATTGTAACGAAATGCGAAAACGACATATCTCGTCTATGAAACACGTACATTTACAAAACACGAGATATCTCGCGATCCATAATAAATTAACAGATTAGTATATTCTATATCAGATCTTCTGAAGCAAGGGAAATCCAACCCTAAAACATATTATGTGTTTTATTTTCCAAAGCTGCTTCTTCAGTACCTTCTCACTAATGAGCAAAGTAATAAAATTCTTATCATGTTAGCTGAAGTAGCACATTGGAAAGGAAAATACACTATTCACCCTACTTGTAAAGGCCTATTCAATATTATTCAATCCGAATATTCATAACTATAATATAATATAAATTTTCAGGTAAAAAATTTAAAAGTTTGAAAATCCTTACTGGATTGGAACCAGGAATCACTTTGCCATTTAATTTGTGCATAGCATCAAGTGCCATTTCGTCAGTTGGAAAATGTACAAAACAATAGCCTGCTGGTTCACCCGTATAACGATTTCTCATTACTTTTACTGTTTGAGGTTGTTCGCCCATTTTATGAAAAGCATTCATTATAAAACTTTCTGTCATATATGGTTCTAGCTGAAACAAGATATATTATTTTAATAGAAGATTAAAACACATATAATTACTCTTATAATTTGAGACTAGGTTTATATAATACATAGATTTATATAATACATGCTCTATAATATTTTTATACATAATTATTAATCTTTACTTACACCTCCCATCCATAATTGGCACAATACCATTGGTCCAGACATTATCTTATTTATATTTATTCTAAATTAATAAATTATTTAAAACTCTGTAATGAAACATGAAGATGTAGTAACATAGAATTGTAATGCATAAATAAGTTACTTAATATGTCAATATTCTTAAAAGAATGAATGTCATATTCACTAAAATGTTTTTTTTACATATATTTAATTGAGTTAATATAATAGTACATTGTAATAATGAATATTTGTATTTATATACGAAACAGACGTTTATCAAACGTTGCTTAGGATTAAAATAGGTTAAGATTATCATTCCAATAGTCGCAGAAAATACATTCGCTTATACACAAATTTTTATTGTATCAAATATTAATTAAATCAATACTTTTCAAACACTTTTTAATTCAAGATTTCTCTATAAATTTAAATAGAAATATTCAAGGAACTTACTATTATATTATCTTTGTCTTGATAGCAACCTTTATTCGCTAATATTTGTACATACGCTGAAATTATTGTTTAAGCTATATCTATTTTTGATAATTGTTTCATTTTTTGCTTTCAATTCTTGTAAATATAGTTACATTACATTAATACATTATGTGTACGTAACCACAATTTCCAGAACAGCAGATTTTTTACACATTATACAATTTACAAATATGAAGTTAGTAGCAGTAATGCATGAAAATATTATAACCTGAAGTTAACAACATGTACTTACGAATTGAAAAAACACTTGAAATTCTATGAGAAAGAATTTTCAGACTAAACTATCAAATTGTAGAAACACGTTTCACATATTTTGCTATGAAATATATATTTACACATGTTGTGTTTTCTAAAACGGATAAACGTGTATTATTCGTTTTATCGTAAACTAGATCTGTTTGATTGAGGCGCTCCGCGCTTAACCTAACAATGTTGAGCAAGCGAGTAAATTTCACGCTAAAGCAAAAATAGTCAACCGTGTCATCCAATTGAATTGGTTGAGTGGTGCAAGAGAAAAACGTGGACAATAAGTTGAAAAGTCAAGTACATAAGCGCGAGCAAATTCAATTTTGAATTAAAGTACGGGGATATGGTTTTTCGGTAATTATTCCTCGGTAGCATGTGCGGGCGGCGCGCAGGAAGAATGTACAGTTTTAATAATACAAAACATGTGTACATGGATATTCCAAAAGTAGCTACTCATTTTCTGAGCACAGTCTATGAACTTTTATGATTAAAGGATGGTCAGTAATGCATTATTTACATGATTCGATCATAAAAGTTCATAAATAATGTTCGGGTAATGAGTAATTAATTATTTTGTGCCAGCATTGCGATACGTATATGAGCCGTCTATGTCAATTATACTGCGCATGCAAAGTGCAATATTTTGGCACTTTGACGACGTAGTATGGTTCCTGAGGCATTTAGAAACAAATATCTATTAGGGTTTGATGCGTTTTGATGCCTAATAAAGCCAGAAAATCAATTTTTGTCGAATTCGGTCGAAAACGGTACAGGTGGCGCCATCTAGCGGCGAGCGGCGGAACTACGAAAAACTAAAATTTCGATTTTCTCAAAAACTAGGGACTTTTCCGAAATTCTGAGATATACAAATTGTTCCTTGTCGCCTGCGGAATCGAACGAATGTAATTATAGCCTGCTAGGATAATTATTAAGGGAAATAGAAAAATAGCCCAATTCATGGACTAAAAAATTGGCGTCCATCTAGCGGTGAAAGTTGGAACTACAAAAATATAAAAATGCGATTTTCTCGAAAAATAGCGAACTTTGAGTACTTCTCAGGCTCAGAAAGTGTTATGTGATCGCATTAGAAGCAAAATAAAACAATAAAAGTTTCCTAAAGGCTTTAATAAAGAAAATAAAAAAAATATAATTTTATGGAGAAAATTTGTGGCGCCATCTAGCGGCGAAACTGCGAACTAAACCGAAAAAACGTATGCCCGTACACGCGTTAAGGAAAAATATAAAAAGTAATATTTCGCAACTTTGACAACGTAGTATGCTTCTTTAGACATTTTAAAGCAATTTTTGTTGAATAAGTTATTCATTTTTTTGCCTATTAAGCCCAGAAAATCAATTTTTATTTGACCCCTTAACACGTGTTCGGACATTCGTTTTTTAAATTTAGTTCGCAGTTTCGCCGCTAGATGGCGCCACAAATTTTCTCCATAAAATTATATTTTTTTTATTTTCTTTATTAAAGCCTTTAGGAAACTTTTATTGTTTTATTTTGCTTCTAATGCGATCACATAACACTTTCTGAGCCTGAGAAGTACTCAAAGTTCGCTATTTTTCGAGAAAATCGCATTTTTATATTTTTGTAGTTCCAACTTTCACCGCTAAATGGATAGTTCGCAGTTTCGCCGCTAGATGGCGCCACAAATTTTCTCCATAAAATTATATTTTTTTTATTTTCTTTATTAAAGCCTTTAGGAAACTTTTATTGTTTTATTTTGCTTCTAATGCGATCACATAACACTTTCTGAGCCTGAGAAGTACTCAAAGTTCGCTATTTTTCGAGAAAATCGCATTTTTATATTTTTGTAGTTCCAACTTTCACCGCTAGATGGACGCCAATTTTTTAGTCCATGAAAGGGGCTATTTTTCTATTTTCCTTAATAATGGTCCTAGCAGGCTATAATTATATTCGTTCGATTCCGTGGGCGACAAGGAACAATTTGTATATCTCAGAATTTCGGGAAAGTCGCTAGTTTTCGAGAAAATCGAGATTTTCTATTTTTGTAGTTCCAACTTTCACCGCTAGATGGACGCCAATTTTTTAGTCCATGAAATGGGCTATTTTTCTATTTTCTTNNNNTTTTCTGGCTTTATTAGGCATCAAAACGCATCAAACCCTAATAGAAAATTGTTTCGAAATGCCTCAGGAACCATACTACGTCGTCAAAGTGCCGAAATATTCATTTTTTTATTTTCCGTATATGCGTGTACGGCCCTTTTAGGTTTAGTTCACCCGTTTCGCAACTAGATGGACGCCAATTTTTTAGTCCATAAACTGCACTATTTGTAACGTGAGCAAATTCAATTTTTACATTGAAGTCTATGAGGATCAGTTTTTTCGGTATTTATTCCTCCGTGGCAAGTCCGATTTAAAATTTTTTTTCTATGTAAAAGAAAAACGCGGACAAAGAAGTTGCAAAATCAAGTATAAGAGCTTCGCTCGCCTTCGGCTCGCTCGCTCAATCATAAATTATTCGCTCATTTTAGACTTAGTAAACCTCCCACTGTATAGTGTCATCCATTACCAAAGACTTTTTACTTTGTTAGTGATATATAGGGTGGACAATAATATGTCAATAAAATCAAATTTCCGTATCCAAAATCTCTAAATTTCGAAGTTCTTGAATTTTCAAAATAAAAAATAAAAAACTACTAGATATATACAGTTGGTATTACAGAAATCGCAAATACGCATGCACATTGCTTTTCCTGCGCAGAATGAACAAAAATTCATTGTCTGATGAGTACGATCTTTCGTGAAACGAATGATATATGCTTTGAAAGATTATATTAAATTCTATTTACAATACAATATATGTATCTTGTAAACATATAAATGCTGACGTGAAGCTTTCTATTCATATTCGAAAACTCTTTCACCACCTACTATCCCAGTGGTATAAATACATATATTTGGATTTGAATTTCATGTTTAGATCATAATCTGAATAAAAATATTTAGTAAGATAAATTAATATTGTAATAGGAGGAAAGAATGAGGAGATTTAAAAATACTTTCTAAATCATTTTATCTTGTAATTTATTCCTGTCGATTATATTTATTATATATGGTAGAATTTTTACAACGCTTGGAACATATCAAATATCGGTTCAATGAGAAATAATGAAGTAGGGAATGCAAAAATCTCTAATGTGTCTAGTGGGAGAAGATACTTATTTTCAAGTATGTCTAGTGTTTTAACTGATTTAGTTATTTGTAATAATGTAACAACATATGTTGTCTAAAATGAGAAAGCTTGATTTTTCCATTTATTCTATGAAATAATCAATATTTTGGGACGGTGAACTTAAAGGCAATTAGATTTTTCAAAGATATTTCTTTTTGGCTAGCAATATTTTTAAAAACATGTGCAGATTATTATTACTTTCGTTATTATAATTATATGAAAGTATATAATCTTTAAAGAAAACGAAATTATAAAGCTAATTTATTATGAATTGAAAGGAAATAGCTACCATCGTTAACGAACATAATTTTTTTTCTCTGTAGTGATAATGAATTGTGATATCGCGACAAATAAACATGGCGCTTATTTGATACTGGAGCCTTTTACTTCGGACAAGCCGCAAGCCTTGTCGCAATTTACACCAACTCAGACATTTCGTTTTTTGCATTTGTTCTCGGATCATTCAAACAATTCGCGATACAGTGAATGTATCGTCTGTATTTCGAACTGTTTTCGAGGGGAAACGTTTGATAAACCTGCACGTCATACATGTCAAAATGGCCCGGGAATATGATCATTTATTTAAGCTTCTAATAATAGGAGATAGTGGTAAGTATCTGAATTTTTATCTTATCACATGTATTCAATGGTAAAGCTATATAATTCTGTATAACCAAAAAGTTTGAATTTCTGTTAAAAGAGATTAATATGTCATTCAGGTTTTTAATAATAACAGACAATACAAATTTATCATAACTGGAGCTAGTAGAAAGTGCTCTTTTATGTGACAGCAATGAAAATGATTCATTTTCTTAGAAATATCTATGGACTCCTTAAAATGTAAAACTTATTGAAAATTTCATGTTTACAAGTATATTCTTTCAATGCAAGAATATTCTAATTATATGATTAACATCATGAAATAAATTTTTGTTATATATAATCATATTATTGTTATGAAATTAACGCATATTTAGATGTATGTAAAAAAATTCACAAAAGATACCAATGTTAAACATCGAATTTAAATATGAGACTTAGATCATATAACCATTTAATAACATAATAATTATAACAGTATATTGATAAAAATTCATTGTTTAATAATTAGTACATACATAAACCTTTATATTTAACTGAAATTTGTTATATTTCATATAGTTCGTTAAATTTATATTGATTAATAATGTTTAATGATTTTAATATTAAAAAATGTGTTGTTCGTAGATTTCATCAACATTTAACCTTTCTACGGTTAACTTTATTATTCAACGCTTAGATACTACTATTTCAGTAAATATTATATTTATTATTGCTATTAATATATAAAATGAATATAAACGGTTACTTATAGGAATATGAGATTCTTTAGTAGCTTATTTAAAAGAAATTTTTAATTCATAGATACGTATTATAGAATACTTTCATTTCTATGCACATAAGTATTTATATTTATACTTAATTGTTTCAGGTGTAGGCAAAAGTTCACTGCTCCTACGATTTGCTGACAATACTTTTAATGGCAGTTACATAACAACGATAGGAGTGGATTTTAAAATACAAACAGTGGATATAGATGGTGAGAGAGTAAAGCTCCAAATTTGGGATACAGCTGGGCAAGAACGATTTCGGACAATAACTTCAACTTACTACAGGGGAACACATGGTGTTATAGTTGTTTATGATGTGACCAGTGGTGATTCCTTTGCTAACGTTAAGCGATGGTTACATGAAATCGAACAAAATTGTGATGTAGTCAACAGGGTACTTGTAGGAAATAAGAATGATTCACCTAATGAAAAGGTGGTATTAACAGAAGATGCACAAAGATTTGCTAATCAAATGGGAATTCAATTATTTGAAACTTCTGCTAAAGACAACATTAATGTTCAAGAAGTAAGTAATTTGTTTGTGCAATGTATTTAAAAATTATTATAATGTTTACAACCAGTTAGAAATATTTAATCTTAGTATTGCTCATTTTTTCTGATCCTTAATTACCATGGTTTATAGAAACATACAAAATGTATTTTATAATTGTTTCTAATGTGTAAGTAGTATTGGTTAATCATTTTTATCTTTACATATTTTTTTAAAAAGCTAATATTCCAGAATAATTTAAATTAAATATTTCATCAGTACAATGTAAAAATTTGTTAAGGTATTAGAAGAATCAGTTGATTTATAATATTCATATAAATTTGTTGTTTTTTTCTATGAATAGCTGTTTAATTTATATCTGTACAGTATATTGATTTTAATTTTTTATCAATTTCTTGTATTTAGATGTTTATGGCTATAACGCGGCAAGTATTAAGAACCAAAAAAGAAAGGAAGGAACGGCAAGCTATACAGACCAGTGAAACAGTCAATCTAAGAAAAAGCACAAAACAACATAAAAAGAAATGTTGTTAACAGGATCATATATGCATGCAATCTGTTCTTAATATCATTTAATACAGTACCGGAAATAAACTGGCAACAAAACAGAGAGCATCTAACAGCCACAAAATGGTCACATAACGTAACAATGATGTTTTTTAAAACTATTGAGTTTTGTATCTAAATTATAACATCGAAGATTGTATTCTCATAGACATATACTTTGATGCTAGTAATGTTCAATATACATAGGATGCAAATGTTATAAGTGTGTAGTGTTCATTTAGCAAGAGTAACTTTGTAAGCAGCACACTTTTTAACATGCTGCATGTTCTGATGTGGCATTACAAATATAAAGGCCTATTTATATTGTACAACTTGCAAACGATAAGCACAAGAAAGAAAAAGACATAAAATTATATAGCTGCTTCATGTTCATATTTTGCATCGCATACAATTGTTTATAAAGGAAAATGGTATAAAACAAAAGATGAAAAAAAGAATATACATTGTACAAAGCTTAATCTAAATTTTTTCAGCAAAAAGGAAAATAAAAGTATTACATGCGTGAGACTTTGATAATTATGGATAAATTTTTCTTAATGAGTTACCATAATATGAGTCCAATATTGTTAATACATAACATTTAATATTTAACAAAACGAAGGCGATCAATATTATCAGCAGGTTGAGATAATTTTTAGCATATTTTAATGTGTAAGGTTCCTGCAGTTTGATGACGCTTTTTAACTGGCTTTAAAAACATTAAATTAAAACGAGCAGTGGAAAGTATTTACGGTATGACAGAGGCAAGCTTTGTAATTGGCATAAAAACGATTACATTGCATTTATATAAGCATTGTCAATTTAACTTAAGCGAAGTAATTTTTTTATTCTATTATTAGTAAAATAACGAAAAGTATGAATATTTTATCATTACATGAACATCTTTTTTATTCTAAAAACATGTGTATAATATAAATTTGATTACAATACTATCAGGAATATATCATTGAAAATCACAAGTGTTTTTTAACGATTCAGACAAAAATTTCTTAGCAAAAGTAATTGAGAAAAATGTAAAGTTAAAAGCTTTGTAACAGCAGGAAAGAACACATGAATATGTAATAATTTATCAAGTTTGGTGATAAATATAATATGGTTAACATACTATATATAATAATAAACAATAAATGTCTTTTTCCATCTGTGATAATAGTTAGGATACCTATCCAGCTGCCGCTGTAATACCGTCAGGAACAACTCCCAATGAATTATTGTAATTGATGTTGTTGTATTTTTTGGTCAGAATAACATATCTTTTGAATGAGACAATGAAGCGGCATCCTATAACGTGTAAATATTCTACTTGCCAGTTTTAGTGGCATGTCACAAGTATTTCAATCAAGCATATTCAATATTGTTTACTGTTATACAGTTATAACATTGTAATATGAATTATTATATACTTTAAGATATAAATAAATAGAACTTTACGTGTACACATAGGTACATTATATTTTTTTTAAGTTACTCATTACCTTTTTTTTCCTTTTATAATAATTCATGAGTTAATGTAAATAATTTATTAAACCAGGTTTATGACACAGGGAGCAAATAACATTTACATGAATGCTTGATATATTTTTTAAATATACTATAAAATTATACATCATACTTTTTATTATTTGTTTATCAATCGAAATCATAAAATCATGTAACATGTACGAAACGAATAATTTTTATAAAGAGAATTGATTAAATATTTAAATGATCTTTTTCATTTATAAATATTCTACTTCTCGTAGCCGGTAGATTTGTAGATTGCAAAAAGTATTATACTTCATGAACATTTATGAATAGTTAAGATTAAAGAAGTATTTTAATTATAATTTTCACTTTTATTTATATTAAATTTTTAATTTCAAAACACAAGCACAAATTTGAATGTAATTATTTGTATAAAAATGTCATGTTATAAAAAAATTCAAAAATTTCACGCCTAATCTAAATCATAAGTATACGATATTTTTTTTATATTCCGTTTCATAAAATTAATGGAAAAATGATTATAGATTTAAGAGTTTCATATGCTACATAAAACATTCATATACGCATTATATGTTACAGTGTGTACCATGTAAATTTAAACTATATAAATATATATATGTATACATATATTAAAAAAATTACATTTAACGGTATATGACATCAATCGATATGAACTTGTACAAAAACATTATAATTTTAGTTATTAAGACTTGCAAGTGTGACATGTATTACATAGAAAGATCCATAAAACATTTTCAACAATTTAACAACGATTATTTTTTTCCTCGAACAGCCTTTATCAAAACTACGCGAGATAATGACGAGCAATGATACAATTAAAACTATAACGACGCACATAACTTTTAACTAAAAAATAAATAAACTAAGAGTAAAACACAAAGTGCCATATACAATTAAATTTAGATAACGGTACCGTAAAAATTCTTTAATTCAAAATAAGAAAGCAGCAAATTACTTCTAGTCTTAGGATGGTTCTAAACTTAGTGGATGCGGATAAAAAAGAGTACCGAACAAGAAAAGAACGAACGAAGAATTTAAACGGATACGAATCCAAAGAAAAAAATGAAACGCACGAGAAAATTCAAGGAACAGTGGTAATCGCAACGTGGTTCGTAGTATACAATGCCGTCCCCCCACCTCTCGACGAAAACTTAAAAATGCCGCCGCAGCGCAACCCGAATCGATATTCGCCGACATAGTCACGTGACCTGAACCCTCGCGCGGTCGACCAATCAGCGACGCGCTAGCCTGAAGTTTACTCAAGCCCGTGTTACAGAACGACGACACGACATCTGACTTTAGGCAATTGGAACAACAGTTTGCGACTGGCAGCGCACCGGTCCACGTTTTGGCGATGTGTCGTTTCGAAGCCAGTTGCTCGAGTGATTCCATGACACATTTAACCGTTGAAAGGGTGAACACAACGAAGATAACACGATATATTCGCACGGTAAAGGGCCAACTTGGTGCTTGACACGATTCGCCCGTTTTCTGTCGTTGGTGCGCGTGCGAGTATCGTTCGTACATTCGTATCGCGTCTAAAAAGAAGTGATTAGTGCCGTTGAGAAGAAGAAAACTGATCGTAGTGTGCAAGAGAAAGAGGTGGGGCAAGAAATAGCAGAGAAAAAGAAAAAAGTATACTACATAACCTACAGAACGAACACACACAGAGGACACACACGCGC